CATTCCTCGTTCGTGCGCATGTGTAGTCTCACCAACATAACAAATTTATTCTGATGAAGTCCTAAAGGACACGTTTCGTGTCAAAAAACTTTTGCCATCCCCAGTATATATATTTGCTCACCTATATATATATAAATATATATATATATATATATATATATATATATATATATATATATTATTAAAACTGTGCAAAAACCAAGACAAACCCGATGCGACCGTCATGTGTCGAATTAAATCTGTTTTAAATGTTAAATATTGATATTTATACCGTACTGTTATATTTCATTCTTCTCCTTGGCCACCGCCTTCTTCTTCTTCTTCTTCTTCTTCTTCTTCTTCTTCTTCTTCTTTTTCTTCTTCTTCTTTACTCTCGGGGTTGAAGTGTCTACTCGGTCCTAACCGAATTTAAGGGAGTGGCCATAGGTTCCCTGAGCATCCGTAGATTATTCGACCGGTCCGCTGGTTTAATCCTGCTTCCTGTCTACGTTGTGTTTTGTTTGATCTAGAAAGCAGAAGTGATGTCCGTCCATTTAGGGTCGACTGAAGATGTAGACACGGCTGGGGAGTCTGCGCTAAGAAATTTAGAATTCAGCAAAAAAAAAAAAAATTAATATCTGCAGAAAGCCGGACAAACATCGATTCACTGGTTGAATTGTTAATGTCTTTTTTATAGCAGAAAAGAATAGTAGAGAAAAGAAACGGGTTACAGGAAAAAAAAAGTATTTAGCGTAAAAACTCATACACTGGATTCTAGACAGAGAGAGAGTGTATGTGATTAACTTGTTAAATCGTCTCAGAACGATATATGACTCTTGCAATGGAGGGATAAAGATTTCTGTGCGGGCTTAAAGTTATGGTGGCGTTCCTCCTCCCAAATCTCGCCCGGGCCAATTCTCTCTTCTCTCTTCAAGAATTTTCTCCCGTCTGTCTTTTTCAGCATAACCACGCGTTTATATAGATAAACCCGGCTGATATTAACTGACCCCTGACCCTACTACTTCGCACGCAATTATAACGGAGTTGTGGCTGCGTCAACCAAAACCATGTGAATTCCAAAGTTCCTTCTAGCTTACTCAGCTCTATTTCAATTTTTAATCGATAAAAATTATTTCGATCATTTCCATTGTCTATTGATGACCAGATTCAATGGGTACAACTTCTGCCCTAGATCAGATTTCCCCATCAGTAAACAAAATGCTCTGATTTAATTTCGCTATTCAAATCTACTCCAATTTCACTAAAAAAAAATATGTGTGTGTGTTACTTCTTCTTCTCCTTCTTGATCACCTCTGCTTTTCTACTCCTTTTCGCTCACCTCTGCCTTTCTTTCCTGACAAAATAATTCTTTTGTTAACTTTTTTAGTCTGTTTTTCGTTTTGTTCAATCCTTACTTTTCTCTCGCCATTGTCTTGTTTTCTCTGTCCTCTCTCCCCCCCTCTCTCTCTCTCTTTCTCCACTTTCTTTATCTCTTTTTAATGCTATATCGCCTTTCACATGCAAGTAAATGAACATTTTAACACATTTTCCTTTTCGTTCGTATTATTTTTCCTTTCTCGTCTGCTTCACTCATTTTTCATTTTTAAACCGACTTTTCAACTCAACTTCCTTTTTTCCCCTTTACATGGCAACTAAATGAGCAATAGTAATACCCTATATCCGTGGACTTTTCTGTTTAGGTCAGTATGCCAAGTGGTTTTGTCGTTCATCATGGAGGAAGGCTTTGTGATAAGAAAGAATTTGAATATAATCGTGTCAGGCCTGACAATGTCAAGATAGATATTCGTAAGTGTCTTTATTAATTTCCATGAGAATGTTAGCAAAGAGTTTGTTCTAACGTGTAATGAATGTGGTTACATCTTAGTAGGGCAAGCCTAAAAATACTGAACGATATCACATAGGGTGCACATTATATGGCGTTTCTATTTGCAACTAACGTGAAAAAAGACTGTGAACTGTGCCTCACTTGGTGGACTAAATCGTCATACGAAATTTCACCAAAATGATACCGTAACAACTACTGCAAGAGGAATGCCACACCTGTTGTCCATATTTGAGAATCAATAAATTGATAGCATTACTCGAAATCGAGGTGCAGCCATGATCACCTATGTCCTGGGTATGACATTAAACTGCACCCAATGGCGAAACTCTAGCTCCAGAGTTCTGGAATTCTAGGAAGCCACCTCTTATTGCGATTACTCTCAGGTCGACTATGACTAGAATTTGTTGTACTTGTTAGGGCTTCATCTATTTTTCTTATAGAGCTGTCTATGGAAAACTGTGTTGTTAACCTATGACTGGCTGTGGCTGGAAAAGACTCAACGAAGGTCAATACGAAAGTGCCAGAGAGAGCATATTTGCCTGGGTATAGAGGCCATAACTGCACTCTGCATGGGTAACCCGAGGGCAGTAGGATATCGGGGTTAGGAACTGGGGGATAGCTATAATAGGAAACAGGAAAATAGCCAACACGCATGTCTGCTTTCACGGGCTCTACGACTTACATCGACATAAACATCTACGCCTAGAAATGTAAATAAAAATGTATATAGAGGCATCAATATATGTCATAATAAAAGTGAATAAAGTGTATTTCCATGTACATACATACATATATATGCACACATATATGTATAATACACACACATACACACATATACACATATGTATATATATATGCAAATGATCTCATCTGTATATTCATATATACATATTCAATTATTTACTTATCATTATTTTTATTGATTAATAGCATAACTCACAAAATGGAAATTAATCAAATGGATTGAACACTTTTTAAATGAAACGCGAAAATACATAAACAAGCAATTTTAATTAAGTTAAAGTAGGTTTTCACTGACAAGGTTCCAATCCGATCTCTGTTGACATCGACTTCCCATGGCGTTAACTAGATGCACAATGGTACATCAAATGCAGAATCTATTGACAATCAGGTATGATGCAATTTTTTAAAAAGCTTTAATGACACGATCCAAATATTTTATTATCAAATAAGGATAATTAAAATTTTGCATATTAAAGCGATGATAAAATTATCATTAATTTTTTTTTATTTTATTTTCGCTTTAACAAAAAAATGGGTAAAAATGAGTTTGTCTTTTGACTCTTAATTTTCAAAAATCATCGAGAAAGACTTTTGCTCGAAAACGAAGTCAACACATTTATTTCAGAAATTCTTTTTTTTTTTTTGCTATTTCCAAATAAAAATTCAAAGATTTATACAAAATCCATCGTGTTAATAAAAAGATAATTTATGACCTACATTATAGATTCAATTAAGATGTAATCCAATAAGTTTACGTTTTTATATACAGTGTCTGACCACCTAACCAAGATGGCCGGCCCAGTCGTTTCTATAGTAATTAATGTTGCAATGGACCATACTTATAATAAACACGCGCAAACCACAAGATAGCTTATTCCTAAATTTTCGCTTGAGGATGAAACAGGACCCAACACCTTGATTCAACTTAATTTTAATAATTATATTGATGGTTTCGGCTCTCACTTTTTTTTTTATGAGAACTCTTATGTATTTTAATCATATTTTTTAAAAAATATGATAATATAAAGCTCTACTTCTGTATGGAGCACTGTCTTCTTAAAAATAAAAATACTAAGGAAGTCCGGATTATTTATTTACCTAACGTGTTCCTTCCTATTTTTCTGCATACTTGCGCACACACACACACACTCACACACACACACACACACACACATATATATATATATATATATATATATAATAAAAAGGCTTAAAACAGTAATATTCCATGGTCATAATATATATATATATATATATATATATATATATATTTTATATATATATATATGTATGTATGTATATATATTAATGAATACGCATACACAATACATATGAACGTATTTACACTATTTACATTGTTGGAACTGTTGTCCTCTTATTTGTTGTCATATTCACGACGTTTCAGTCGTTGAACGCTCCGGCCTTCTTCAGGTGATTGGAATTTCAAACCGATTCCTGAAGAAGGCCGTAGCGTCAACGGTCAAAACAACGTGAATATGACAATAAAGATGAGGATATGTACATAATGTAAATACCTGATCTCAGAAATATAGATATATGCGAACGTATACACATATTTATATATGTGTTTATACACATGTATGTAAGTATATATGATCACATATGTATATGTGCATGATCGCATATGTAGAGCTGTGTATATGGTAACTAAAATACATTTTATTAAATAGCATAGAGTAATCGAATAACAGTGGATAGATATTTATATATTCTGCCAGTGCACCAGACAATGGATCAGGTTTTCCACTGCCCTGTTTTTTTTTTATATCCTGACATAAAGAGATCAAATGACAACTTCACCTTCAATAATATTCTCTAGCATTTAAGTTCTTTACACAACTGAACATCGATCACTTCGATGATTTTTCGCTTGATTTCTCACGTCTCGTTCAAATCCTATTATGACATTTTATGAAACTTAAAGCAATATCCTCTTTTCTGTGCTTGCTTGATTACCAGTATTATTATTATTATTATTGAGATATTACATTTGCCTTAATTCATCATAAATCGTCAATATATCGGCATCAGCGTCATATTCCCCTATTGTTCATATTCACTAGACTCTAATGTGTTAATGAGAGTTTCTACCTTGATAGCACCCCTCCACACACAGGCCTACGCCCTCATACTGTTATTGAACCGTACAAAGGCGTATGATGTGTAAATGATGGTAAACCTTCTGGAGTCAGTATGAGAAATAATACTTCATAATCAACAAAAATATTCTTTATATACTCGAACCATTCAAAGGTGAACAAGAAACTACGGAAAGCACCTTATTTACTGTTATAAAATTATCAAGAAAAAGTTCTGTGTGGAAAACAAAAATAAACTTGAATCCCTGTCTTTTTTTCCCCCTTCTCCTTCATCTGCTTTTTATTCTTCTATCTCTTATGATTTTTCAATAATGAATTTTTCCCTTTCACTCTTCATTCGTTCATTTATTTGTTCCCACTTTTATTCCTTGTTTCTTTTTATTTTTTTTCTAATTCTTAACTTACCTTCCAATTTATTTGTTCCTTTCTTTGAATTATTGCCTCTCGTTGAATTCGCCCACAAACTTCTTTGGAATATGCGGAATATTCGTCAGTGAAAGGTAGAGTAAAATCGAATGGACACATCGCATTGCAAAGTAGAATTAGTTATAATTTTAACATTATCAATATCCCTCTTTGTCTTCTGTTAGTTTTTCTTCTTTCTTTTCTTCTATATGTCTTCCTTCCCTTCTTAATAAGAATACAGGAAATCCTTTTTTCTTTCTTTCTTTTTCCTTCCGACCTTTATTCCTTATTTCCTTCGTTCTGAATTTCCTTCTTTCCTTTATTCCCTTCCTTCTTCTATTCTTTCCTTCTTCCTTTCTTTCTCTTCTTTCTTTCTTTTTCTTTCTTTCCTTCATTCTCATTCTTTCATTCTTTCCTTAATTCTTTTAACCTTTCCTTCGTTCTTTATTTCCTTCCTTCATTCTTACATTCTGTCTTTCTTTCCTCCTTTCACTCATTCTTTCCTTCCTTTCCTTCCTTTCTGTTTTCTTTCTTTCTTTCCCCCTCTTTTCTTTCTTTCCTTCCTCTCTTCTTCCCTTCCCCCTTTCTTTCTTTATTTCTTTTTTCTTTTCTTTGTATTCAATGTTCCATATTTTTTACATAGATTTGTTCTGTATTTATCCATTTATTTGCATTTTATCATTAATATATTCATAGGTTTTGCTTCGATTTCGTCCTTCTTATATCTTATATTCTTTTACCTTTGATTACATCCTTATAAATCTTTAATTTTCTTCCCTACGATATCTTTGCTAGTACACACACACACACACACACACACACACACACACACACACACACATATATATATATGCATTTGTTTTTGTGTGAATAATTCATGAATTTGTAAATTGATTGCACGTTTATCGAAATTAAAATAACTGATCCAAGTGCGACTTTTGGATAATAAGTGCGGCATTACTGTAATTATTGAACAATATAGTTCATGCCACTTTGACAGAAAATTTACCAGTAAAAAATTCGTTCATCACCATATTTGTACATGAACGCACAACTGTAAAAAATTTTAAAATCAAACTCAGCGTTGCTATTGCACGCTCCAAAAACAATAACTCATTTCCAATAGCATTTTCGGATACAACAATACATATATTTTCGTTGTCCTCTTATTACTAAGAGAAAAACAAGAACAACATCTATTCCATACATGAAGATGTCTGTAGGAACAGACGAAAGCTTGTAGTAAAAATAAGAACTAATGCGGCAGAAATTTATGGAAACAAGGATCATTTCATTCATAACGGATTCGGAGGTTTTTGTATATTATTTGAATTGTTTGCGACGATGGATTTCTCGCCAATTAAATCATTAACCTTTGCATTTGTTTTTGTGTGAATAATTCATGAATATATATATATATATATATATATATATATATATCTGTGTATGTGTGTGTGTGTGTGTGTAGGATAAAAACTGCATGAAACTCCAAGTAGTGCTATTAATTAATCCAGGGAATTTAAAGTAGGAGAGCTACTAGGACGCACGATGTGATTGTCAATGAAGACCTTCACAATAAAATTTGTATTAAACAACCAATGTAAGTCAAATTATCAGGGTATATTTATACGATAAATATATCTTGTGGTTTTCAGCGTATAATACCAGTTTTTACTTCCAATATTTGCTATAACATTTAGTAGTGTTGAACTTTCATTATGCAAATCAAGAATTGTTCAATATATTGTTAATAAATATGAATATATAATTGCATAGTTATTGATATTTATTTTTTAATTCAGATATTAAACGTTTACTATGGCTTGTAGGAAAGTTAAAACCTCAAAAGGGAAACCAGCTATTATAAAATTATTTGCTGATGTAAAGAAAACTTTGGAAATTGCAATTAAATCGAACAAAGATCGCGGGAAAATTTGAAAAAAAGTGAAATAAAAAACATTGAGAAGATAAATACAAGAATAATGGTTTTAAGAATGTCGCTAAAAGAGAACTACAAAAATTGAAGTTCCTCGCAGAAAACTTTATTCCACTCCTGTTGACAAATCACCTTAAAGATAAGCTCAAGATTAGACGTCCTGATGATGAACACCTTATACACCTTCCATAAATTTTCTATGGGATTTAAGTTTGATTGCTTATATACATAATACCGTAAACATTTATTATATTCAACTGAATTTTTACATTTTTAGCCAAATTAAAAATATTTTTTCTTAAAAGAATTATTTAAATTTTATATGTCTAATACTTTTACGTGTTTCAATAGTTAGACAATTTCGAATAAATTTCAATGCACAGAGAGTTTCGAATATTTTTCCCTTGTGATTTCCTATTCATTGTGACTTGCTTCAAGTTTCTTCCATCTTTTTTCAACTGTTCATTTATTTTTTCTCTATTTCCCTTTCTTTCTTTTTTTTTTACATGTTTTATGTTTTAAGTTTATTGTTTCGTTGTCAGTGCGCACGGAAATTTATTTTCAGTTTACTAAAAATGCATGTTTTCCTCTCAACATTTTTTAGCCAACAGAATAGTTACAACAAATAAATGTGTAATATAAGCTTGTGACACGTTATACCATTGGACCTATTGTTTCTTGCCAACCTATTCATGCTTCTATCTCCAATGTAATGGCATGGAAGTGCAACCAACACAAAGTCGTCACCATTTCAAAAGAGTTACCGTCAAGTGACGTCCAAACAGCCGCCATTGTAAGAACGAAATGGCTCGTTCTGACTATTTTTTAATAAAAAAGAAAATAGAAATGGTGAAAATAGTAAAGGCAAATAAAAGTTCAATAGTCATTCAGCCAAGCAGCCATCAATAATAATAACAATCATAAACACCAGGCGGCTACAGTAGCAACAAAGTCAATAATGACAACAATAAACAGGAGAATAAAGACCTAAATAACATAATATAGATCCGACTAAAAGCCGGTACCACGGTTGACAATGAAAATAACAATAAGTAGTAACCATAGAAAGAGGGAACAGGTAAATGTAATATATAAATAATCAAATAAATAACATGAGATATGCCTACAAAAATATATATATATATATATATATATATATATATATATATATATATATATATATATATATATATATATATATATATAAACATCATTTCAAAAGATAAAAATAAAAAAAAAAACAGGTCTGAGCGAATTATAAGCAATCAGGTAGGAAAACCAAAGACCGGAAGATCAATGATCAAAAGCGGAAGGAAGGAATGGAGTGTTTGTGTCAGCGCAGATCCGTTACAGCTACTTTTCACATAGAAAAAAGGCAGAAATAAACAACTTAGAACTGCCTTTCATTTTATTTCTTTTGTTTACACCCGACATTAATGAGACGATTGCGTGTGACACGCTTCCCTGAAAGACAAGAGCGTAAACAACAGAACTTGTCACGGGTGGATTGGCCGGACAACGGCTGCGCCGTTTTGTTGATAGGTGGATACGAAATGCTGAGTTTAGAATATAAGGAACGGTCACGATGTCCAGAGTCATTATTAAATGAGTCGAAATAGAATAAACATTTAGAATATGGAAATATGTAAAGCTTCTTGTTTTATATGTTACCTTAGTTTGTAAGAACTCCAACTAAAACACTAATATCAACAATAATATATTTGTCAATAAAACCTTAATACTCCCCAACTAATTAGTATTAATCGTAATAAACAAAATAATTTGAAACTTGTATCACAAATGATTATTAACTTAAACCGTTTCTCCTGAATGTGGTTCTGGGATTCTTTTCTAATTGTTTTCTTTCTTTATGTTTAAGTCTACAGTAACACAATTCCATCTTAACCAAATCTAATGGTACCATAAGATTAATTATGCTTTGTAATTCAAGTAATAACTGATTTCGTTATCACAAAATTTCTCTTCAGAGTAATGCAAAAAAAGTAAAGCTGTTTCAGGAATAAGTTTCCAAAAGAAAGAAACATACAAAACTTTTGGTTAATTAAAATAAGATTTTCAAAGAATGAAATCCGATAATGAAAGTATTAAGTGTGAAGTAGGTGAATAGCAAGTCGACTTGAAATCAATACAAAAATACAAAGTAGATTAACGCTCTATTGAAAATTGTATAAACAACTTTGGTTAAACGGTTGCCATCGAAAATCAAAATGAGTAAAATCCACGGACTGACCATTTAATCCGAAGCAAAAGATTGACCACCTAATCCGAAGCAAAAGATTGACCACCTAATCCGAAGCGAAAGATTGAATTCAATAGAAGCGAACAAAGAAAAGATGACCTGCCAGTAAAATCGAAAGGGGAAAAAAAAACATTCATTTGGGAAATGAGAAAATTGTGGAAAAGAAATGAATTGTGGAAAAATGACAAATTCATTTAAACTTAAGCCTAAACGGCTTAAGTTTAAATGAATTTGTCATTTCGCATCCAAATATGTCATTGCAATCCACCTCCTTCCCCAACAATTCTCCCCACACTTCCCGCCGTTTTATGCAAGGCTATCAAAAAAAGAAATTGTGAAAATTATCTGACACCTTTCAGAAGCAAATATTTACTGGGCCCGATCAAAAGTTACGCTTAGCCATCTAATCTTATTGTATGAGTTGATTATTGGATAACCAGTATTAATGTATTATTCTAGAGTAACCAGTATTAATGGGTTATCCTAGGGTAACCAATATTAATGGATTATCTTAGGGCAAACAATATTAATGGATTATCCTAGAGTACTCAGTATTAATTGATTAATTATCCTATGCCAGATTAAGTTTAATTGAAATCTGCGTCCACTCAGATTATTGATATTACCTTACAAACACCGACATTATCAAAAGGCTGTACACAGTATTATTACGACAACAATGACAACTGCTTCCACCCTGATATATGCACTAAGAAAAATGTTTACAACTTATCAAAATCAGCGTAGTACGCGCATCAGAAGCTCCATCATGGAAACAATAATGGTGACAGCATCAACAACAACAGTAAGAATAATAATGTAATATCGGGTGGGAAAAATTTTATTTTCTCGAATATAATAGACCCGACGGTTGTTGTATTGGAGAAGGGTGATTAGTAATGAAAATAAAACAACCATAAAACATGAAACGCTCTTTTTTCTCGGAGGTAGAAAAGATGTACTTGGAAATTGTGGTTTGTTAATTTTCATCAATGTGATGCATTATTAGCCATTTGTAGGATTTTTTATATATCTTTTCTTCTTTTACCTTTTTCTTTCATTTTCATCTTATTTTTCTCTTTCTCTCTTTCTGTTGTTGTTCTTTTTTGACCTTTCCTCATTATAAACCATTTCTCTTTTTCTTTCGTTTTAGATTTATTTTTTCTCTTTCTCTCTTTCTGTTGTTCTTTATTCTTTTGTTGACCTTTTCTCTTTTTATGCCATTTCTATTTTTGTCCAATTTGTATTTTTCTTTAGCCTCCTTTTTTATTCATTATTATTTTCTTTTTTTGTTGTTGTTGTTTCCTTTGTTTTTACTTTTTCGTTGATTCATTTTCTTCCCAACATTTTTTTTTGTTTCCTCTTTCTTCTTTTCGTTCTATTCATTCTTTTCTTTTTACAAAGCGTGAATAGAGAGTTTGAAACTTGGTCAAAAAGAAGGATAAGAGATTTTATTTTAAAAATGGAAAGGAAAAAGTTAATCAATAAACAGGATCAAAGTTTCTCGTTAGATTAAAATTATTCTTTGCAATTTAAGAATTTCAATGACTTTTCTACAGATTTTTCAAGCGATGTTCCCCTAAGAGAAACATACATTCGCACACACTTTATGCAATGCTTTAGTTTATATGAATTCTGATAAGAAAAAGTTTCGGGACTGTTGTTGTTGGTAACGAAGATAAAATACGCAGAGTGAGGATGCTTTGCCCAGATTGACCTTGAAATCTGTCGCACATATACACTAAATTATAACGTTCTCACTCACTTCCGTTATTTTAGTAGTGCTTAGAAGGAAAGTGTGTAGAGTTTGGTCGTCTCACCACATCACAGAGGTTTCATCAGTGACCATGACTTGTGCAGCAGTTTTTGGCAATGTACATTTCCCAAGATTGAAAACAACCATATTTCCCAAATCTCGCCTCTTGTGCCATTTTCCTCTTTCCAAAAATCATGGGCCACTTGAAACGAACGATTTCAAGACGCCGAGAAATGCCAACAACGTAGACGAATGCTGAGAAATCCGTTTAGCACCTCCTGCTATTAGTAAATAACCAACGTCATGTGATTCCCGAATTCAAGTTAAGCTCATATAAATGTGAGGAGGCGCTGAAAAGTTATCGGCCCGCCCAAAAATTCTTTACGAAAGAAATTCAGATATTTGGCCCCACCTGGTCAGATTTAAGGAAGTGTGTCGGGCCGAGAGCATTTCAATGTCTGTCTGCCTGTCTCTGTCTCTGTCTCTGTCTCTGTCTCTCTCTCTCTCTCTCTCTCATATATATATATATATATATATATATATATATATATATATATATATATATCTTGAAAATTTCCATGTCATCAGTTGTGTATGCTTGTGAGCCTGGATATATACGCACACGTATCACTTGTTAAATTAATGAAGTATTTATGTATGTTCCCCTATCATACTAAACTTTATCTTAGTCAAATTTAATCCCTGACTACTATTCAATAAAGATCTATTTGTCTCGGCGTTGCTTGTAGAACAACATTCTTTCTCAGAGATATTTACCTGAAATTCTCAGATATAAACATTTAGTAATATCCCCTCTTTTGAAACTGTTTTCCTATTAGATACCAAGAACCAAAGAAAGAGAAAAACTGCAAATTAAAAGCCATCAAGACATAGAGCATCGTTGCAATAAGGGTACTATTATAAGGGTACTACTTCATAAGACAGACTGAACATTAAATGAATTGATTGTAAAAGAACGACAGAAAGTTTCCGAGATGAAATATGAAAAGAATCAAAAACGTTGATAATTTAAAAAAAAGAAAGAAAGAAGAAACTGAAATGAATACTTTCCGATATCAATATTTCTTTATTTTATAATGATCATTATAATGATCATTATAATGATCATTATAATGATCATTATTTTCATTTTCATTTTTTATGTGAATCATCCTTCAATTCTGCATTGTATATTGATCAGTGTCATAAGCTTGTTTTAATTTTAATCGAAAGTTTATGTTGATCATTGTTTTAATATTCATTTTATCTTGTCATTGTCCTATTTCCATGTCATTTTGGCCATTGTCCTATTTTTTATTTAATTTTGGCCATTGTCCTATTTTTTTTTTTAATCTTTGTCATTTCGTCTATTTTTATCAATTTTAGCCAATGTCCTATTTTCATACAATTTTGGTCATTGTCCTAATTCATGTTGACTATTTTTCAATTCTGCTATTCATGTTGATCATTGTCCTGTTTCAATTTCAGGTGAAAGGTTTCATTATGAATTTCAATAAAACCTCATTTCCCGTCGACAAATACAAGTTCTTTCTTTTTCTAAACCTACAGACATAACGATGTATTTTTACATTTCTTTTGAATAATTTTTTTCATATTATATATCCTACGTCTCTCTCAAAATTTGATTGCAGATTATTTTTTTAATTATTTTTATCATTTTGTAAAAATAATTAGAGCAATTTTGGGAAAATGTGCATTTTGCATTAACTTCATGCACTTTTCTTGCTATTTTTCTAATTTTAAAATATTGTATTCAATGGAAACAAATTCATCTAATTCGAAAAACGTTTGTTTTTATTCCTTCATTTTCTACGACGAAGAAATCATCACCGAGAAGTTTGCAGAAATGAATTCGATAGATTTTAAATTTACATCCTTTTTACAGAAACCAAAAGAAAGAGACAACCTTGAGTTAGGGTGAAAAGAATGGTAACCGTATGAAATTGTAATATGGGATTCCATGCTTTCTTGTTTTACGCGATTGTTTTGATTTTGATTTATTTATATTTTTTTTTTTTTTGCTTGTATTGTAGCGCCGTGGACATATTTTCTGGATTTCATTTAATTTCTTCTTTTACTTTTTACATACAATTTTATTTTTATAAATGATAATGATAAAAACTATTTTACACAACAAATGTTTATTTTTCAACATAATGTTTTTTTCTAATGCCCTTGATTCAATTTGTGTATTAATCACATAGATCGCCTATACTACAGTACAACTGTGTCAGGCTATGATTTTATTGATCCACTCTCATATGTTTAGATGCGTTTGTTTCTCTCTTAATACTAGATCAAAAAAATAAAATAAAAATATGTTTGAATTATTTGAGGTTTTGAAATTGTTTGAATGAAATAGATTTATGAATTTCGACTTTCGAGCCAAAAAAACTTCAGTACATTATATTTACGGTCTACAGAATTTTCTCCATCAAAAAGCCTTCAGCGCGAGCTAAATTATATTTACCTTTACATGATTCAATCGATCTACAAAAAAAAATCATCTGTAGCTTTCGTTTTTCAAAAATGTTCATTTTTCTTTTTTACACTTAACCTATCATATCTTTATTTCCAGGAAAGTTTTGTTCATTTTTCTTTAAACCCACTTTCTTTTATCTCTCTTACTTACTTCTTCCGCCTCACTTTAACCTTTCTTCCCAAAGGAAAGTTCAGGCGTTTTTTCTGTACTCATAAAGAAGTACCGAACACAGACTCACATGTGTGAAAAAGAAATGTAAGAATTGAATAACTTAATAAAACAGAAAAAAAATCTATGGCCTTCATTTCCCTCGAACGAACTATTTTCAAAAGAGCAGGTCCGGATGTGACTATGGCCCTCTTCTGGACATTTTGCAACACTCGCGGTAGTCTGGTTGTCTTTGCTAGAGCTTCCGTTTTATGAGAATCTAGACATTCACAAAAGTCTTCATGTCTGTCAAAAAGCCATGAGCGTTTGGCGTCTCTGTGTTACAGTCGCCAGCGTCCATATATCCTCCCAAAAACTAAAAATCAAATAAAAAAGAAGCCGGAGTCTACCTATGCCATGCGGAACAGAAGAGGGACAGTTCCTCGGCCAACAGCGCGCTGTGTCTCCAGGAAGGAAAAGACCGGCACAAAAGAAGGGAAAAATATTAGTGTTGGCTTGAAAGATGCTCTGGGTTGTTACATTATTAGAATAAAGAAAAAGAAAGGAAAAAGGAAAGCCTACAAGAAAACGAGGGTAGAAGGAATGAGGTAAAAAGTGTGAAGAGAAAATATGATTGTCAAGAAAGAGAAATAATAAATTCAGAAAATTACGAAAGAAGAAAAATATGTGGAAGGAAATGCGAAAATAAAAGGAAATCAGTTTTAATCTAATAGAAGAACAAATTGCCAAAAAGAAAGAAGAAAACAAAAGCTATGAAATAATTTAATAATAAAGACTGAAAGAAAATGAATAAAATGAAAAGGAAATATTCTAAAAAATAATCCGGTGTAAGGAAAGTTGAGAAGATCTTGAATAAGAATGAATTTCTTTTATAATAGAGATTTCCTTGGTGCCAGATCAAAATATATCACTCCTTTTATTCTTCATCATTTATTCATAAGCAGCTTTGTTGGTTAGTAAAAAAGAAATTGGAGGCTAAAAAGAAAAGTAATAACAATTTTCTATTGGCTAATGTAAAATAAATAAACTGGTAGTCATCTATTTTCATATATTCTTTCTTTGCTTCTTTTAATTATATATATATATATATATATATATATATATATATATATATATATATATATATATATATATATATATAAAGAGAGAGAGAAAGATAGAAAGACAGACATTCTGTCTTTAAATTTTCTGATTATATCTGTTTTGCTTATTATTTCTCTCTTGTCACAATTTTGCAAACAAATTTGTGAACGATGTTTCAAAAATAAATAATAAATTTTAATCAATTCGTAATCCTGAATTTGTTTTTAAATTTTCTAACGTGTTATCTGAATATTTACAGAGAAAAAGCTGAAAACTGTTTGACAAGAAAACTTATATTTTCCTAAAGGAAATGAAAACTGCGTTGATTTTACTAGCAAATCATTTTATTTTACATTCTATATCTCGTTTTTATGCTCACAGTAAATACATAGATAACCCTGCTGATTTCATTGTCTTTCTGGTGTTCCTCTAGTTTTCCTTTTAGGTGAAGAGATGATGAAATCAGGTCTAGCTAGAGAGAAAATTGAAAGTGGCAACTCCCCACCCCGACTCCTGTGGCATGAAGCCAAAATAATACATAGAGAAAAACAATACTGGAAGGTAAGGCGATCGAAAGAATCAGTAGACATGCTAAATCATCATAAACGTCTCAGTCGACCTAACATAGAAATGAAAACGATATAAGAGTCTTTAATTAATTAATTAAAAAAGAAATAATATAATTACATTTCAGGTAGTAGTTCAGTTGAAGAGGCAGGCAAGTAACTTTGAATTTAAGACTCCACATTTCTACGTCGCCTCTGAATTGTCCTACTGGACACATGGTCTGATGGATAACATCATTAGTTACTCTAATCAATTTAATTGGTGGTCGGAAATCCCTATGCCGGGTAGCGCAAAAATCATGTACTTTGGTTCTGTGATAAAGACATGTGATATCATCAAGAGGATTTAACTGATACGAGATACCCGCTTGTATGGAGAAAGGAATAAGGAAAGTCTGTCTCGTAGATAGCATAAAGGGTTCGATTCGAAATACCTGGAAGGTTACCAACTCCGACAAACACCTGAAGAAGGCTGACACGTGACGATAATAAGCAAAATGAGAAACACGGCCGAGTAAATCTCGTTGTAATCAAATGAAAATCAAATAACAGAATATGAAAATAATTAAGTACATCACACATCCAAAAAATTCAATATAGGGAATAGAGTTTGCCTTCCGCTTCGCCAGTTTCCAACCAAGGCTCTCCTACTATTTAAAGTATAGCTTATGGGGCGGGGGGTGACTGATTCGAACCATTCTCAAAGGGATTTGCACGTAAGTGAATGTAACGATCTGGAATTCGAACCTGAATCTTGGATTACTCATTCCGATCCGATATCCATTACATCACCCGCATATCCATAAAATAGATGTTAAGATATCAGCAATGCTTGGGATAAGATTAGCGAATATAACAAATAGGAGGTCGACTACATCAGTTTAGCTCATATAACGGATAAGAAGCCGACCAAAGAATGCCTGAATTAAATAACTATAATGGAAAGATTTACGAAATTGTCGTACTTTACACACATAGAGTCTTAAAAGACAAGTAAATATGGCGATAGTTAAGAACTAAACAATCCTAAATGATGACGGAAATATATTAACATCTACCTGCATCAAATAATATACGTGTGTACGATAGGATTCTTTGAGATTACTAACCACTTCTTAATATATAAGATTATCATCATGTATTTATTTTAAAAATATGCTTCTTTGTTGATATTAGAAATTTGAATGGGGAAATACATTCATTTTCTTTTCGTGCAAAAGTGCCGTCGAGATAATTAAATCAGTTGCGTTGCAATGTAAGCCATTAATTTATGCGTGAACTGCGTTAAAATATAAAAGTGAATTAAAATATAATAAAAGTGATTTCTTTTTCTTTATTTTTGGAAAATTTTCTTCGGCTTGCTGACACGGCGTGATACTGGCGGGAACCCGTAATCATCGTCTATTTGTAATTTACACAAAAAGGTACTCGCACATTCATTACACTTTTCGATGACGACGTGAAATGTTCACATCTAAATGGATTCAAATAAATAATAATTACATGTCAGAATGAAATAAATGCATTGAAAAGTGCGTGTGTGTGTGTGTGCGTGCGATGGCTTTGTTTGAAAATCATGTGTTTATCTTATTGTTAGCTTCTTTCTGTATCTGAAGCCATACGTACACTCTTATTGTATGCCTTGCAATATCGAATCAGCATGTTTCTCTCTGGTTGTTATACTCACAAAGTTTCAGCCATTATAACCTCCGCTCTTCTTCAGGTGTCTCTCATTCTTTCAACGGATGTGGATTGTTTTTATTCTGTTTCAAATGTTTACTAAATGTTTCATATCAGTTAATACTTACCCGTCTTATTCAGTTTTCTTTTCGTTGGTCCGTTTTCCCCGCTAAATCAGATTTTGTGACAATTATTCAGCGCAACTACCAACGAAACAGATTTGTTTTCAACGGCATTTTAATCCACTAGGCCATATGTCTTATCTTCTGATGTCATTGTGGAGTCTTAAACTTACAGTGTTTCCTGTCTCAGGCGATGAAATTCTTTCAGGGTGTCCTTTCTTCATTAGAGGATCCCCTACGTGACGAGATTGTCAGTGCCTCGTATGTTCGTATCTACTCTGATCCTTTCTACCATCTTATCCTCTAGTGTAATTTACTATTATATTTTCATTCCACAGGCACTAACGACTACACTGATCGACCATACTTGATTCCAATGTCTCTCCAAGTTGGAGTAGAGAGTTGATTCGCGATATATATATATATATATATATATATATATATATATATATATATATATGTTTGAACTACTGTTGAATTGCATCCTAATGTTGTATGAGCTGCAAATGCTTCGAATCTATATTAACAAAGATGAGAACGCAGTTTGAATAAATAAGTCAAAGTATATTGTCCTGAAATTTTATCTACGGCGAATCTTTGAATCTTCCGCCAAATATCTAGAGATCCTTGATAAAATCCCCCAAATAATCAGCAAAATATTATTGGTCCTGATCTAGCGTCTCGGCTTCAGTCACGTTCAACACCGCCGTAAACTTGCCTCCCTGTGCCTTTTCTATAAATACTCTCATGGCAACTGTTCGGATGAGTTTTTCGCTAGGGTACCTAAACTTAATAAATTTAAGCACAGTACTAGACTGGCGACGAGGTTTCACCAATATACAGTCGCGTTGACTAGATGTAACCGTAAGTTCTATGTTAACAGTTTCTTTTCTCACACTTCTTGATTGTGGAACCCTCTTTCGGCTTCATGCTTTCTGGACAACTTTAATCTTCAAAAATTTAAATACAATGTCAATCGCTATCTACTGCCCTCCTGATTACTCATTTTTTGTTCTCGCTCCTTAGTCATGTTTCTTTTTTCGAATTCTTCCACACCCAACAATCCCTTGTGTCTTAGTGGCTTTACTGCATTCCTTGGGAGGAAATCGATTAACATATATATATATACATACCTGATCAAAAATTTAAGACCACTTGAAATTTTTTTATGAGAGACTGTTTGTCATGGATACATTATAAACTTTTTTCTTACTTAAGCTTACTAATTCTATAATCTAAAAGGTTATGTAGACAAAAAATTATAATCCGATCAATTTATTCAGAAATGGACATTTTTACAAAATGTGGCGTTTTACAAAATTATAAGATCAGGGGTTATAAATTGTTAGGTCTAGGGTAATTCCAATGTTTTAAGTTCAGTTAGAGATTAGCAATCACTGCGTAAAGCAAACTTACCGAAGTTGAGCGTACTCGAATTCTAGATTTCCATAATCAAGGTTTGTCACAGCGGGCGTTCGCACCTAAGATAAATCGCAGTAAAACTGTGATTTGCAACTTTCTAAAGGACAGTGAGAATTATGGAAACGCAAAGTCTACTGGTAGGCCCAAAAAATTTCTCCGGCATTGAGTAGGAGAATAAAACGGGTTGTTGTGAAAGCCAGTGGACTTTCTTCTAGTCAAATTAAGGCAGCCAAAGATGCTGATTGCAGTCCAGTAACCATCAGACGACACTTATGATAAAAAGGCATGGTAAATAAAAAGCGCAAACAAATTCTTCGGCTGCTTCCACGTCACAAAGTGAACCGTTTAAGGTTTGGTCGTGAATGGTACATTGAGAAGTGGAAGAAAGTCCTGTTTTCTGATGAGAAAAAAATTCAATCTAGATGGTCCTGATGGCTTCCAACGATATTGGCATAACAAAAACATGCCTCCTGAAATTTTCTCCACACGTCATAGTGGTGGAGGGTCCCTAATGATATGGGGTGCCTTTTCATACAGAGGGACGATGGAGCTCCAAGTGGTGCAGGGTCGTCAAACAACGGCTGGTTATGTTAGCATGCTACAAAAAGCATCGTTGGTGACGGAGGGCCATCGTTTGTGTGGGGATGGATGGTTATTCCAAGAGGATAATGCTGAAATCCACACTGCATGTCGGATCTTGACATTTCTACAAGAAAATGGAGTCCATCTCTTGAGACATCCTGCATGCTCACCGGACTTGAACCCAATTGAAAATGTTTGGGGATGGATGGCAAGAGATGTTTATTGAAAAGGGCAAATAATATTCAACAAAAATGAACTTCGTGAAGCTATCTTCAGAAGCTGGAGCAATATTCCTCGCAGCTTAATGGAAACACTAATTTCTAGCATGCCTCAAAGAATTTTTGAAGTCATCAAAACCAGTGGAGGTAGAACTCATTATTAAATTTGGTTGTTGAATGTTTTCGTACACTTTTCGTACAATTTCGTAAAATTTTTGTCTCTGGTCTTATAAATTTGATCAAGTGTAAAAAAAACGCTTCATTTTATAAAAATGTCAATTTCTCAATAAAATGTTCGGATTATAACTTTTTTGTCTACATAACCTTTTAAATTATAAAATTAGTAACCTTAAGTAAGAAATGTTTAAAATCTATCCATGAAAACAGTCTTTTTAAAAAAAAAATTCAAGTGGTCTTAAATTTTTGATCAGGAGTGTATAAGCAGCAAGTATTTATCCAAACAAGTTGATTAAAAATAAACGACCATGTCTATCTGTTTAAATTAAACAGGCAGACATTTCCGGTTCTTTTAATCCAGCGTGTTTGGATATATACATATGTGTGTGTATTCGGAAAATTGGTTAATACTGTGTACCGAAAAAAACATTTTAAATCAGTTAATTTATAATATTAATGCTCTGTAAATTTACATTGAGCACTATTTTGTAAAAATAAAAAATTCCAATAAGAACACCGGATTATATATCTTACTGTTCTTTCTTTATATATATATATATATATATATATATATGTGTGTGTGTGTGTGTGTGTGTGTGTGTGTGTGTGTGTGTGTGTATTCTTTTCTCTCTCTTTATTCACTCTCTCTCTTTTCTCTTTCTCTCTCTACCTCGTTACTAACGTTTCCTTCTTTTTTTGGTATTGAATATATTTTACCCTATTTTCCCTCTTTAAAAATTTTGAATATTATGTCTTTGGTGATTTTTCGGGTTCATACAAGCATTGCCAGTTATTTACTCATGGCTCACAGGCGTTGGAGTGATTCTCTTCTCCAAGAAGTGAATGTTGGACGTTAACACTTTTAAAAATTCATATTTACATTCCAGATTCCCTCTCCATAGCCGCCCGCCCTCCAGGTCCGACTCCTATGCTTCTCCTCCTTCCATCTAGAACAATCTATAACGCTGACCCACGAGCGATCTATACATACACAACTCGCGCCGTGGTTCCCAGTCCCGCTTGGCTATTCAGTTGTGTTTGCAAGCCTGTTGTTGTTGTCTTTGTTGTTGTTGTTGTCTTTGTTTATGTTTGTTGTTTGTTTTTATCTGTTTGTTGTGTTTTTTGGTTTGTTTGTTTGTTTGTTTTTTTAATAGGAGGAGATAGGCTTCCCTATCGCCCGGTTAATACTCTCCCCCTTCTTTTGAACAGGAGTAGAGGCTCATCCCTTGTTTCTTGTTTAGGAAGGAGTTCCCGGGTCCTGGCCTTTGCATTAATGCTGTTGTGAATCTCTTGTGATATATGCGGTTTATGGCAACGTCTCTTCATAATGAAGGGACCGGGTTGCTAGTCTTTTAGTTGTCCTAACTCTTGAATAGCGTCTTGAAAAGCTGCGTTGATCAACAGTTGCATAATATCGGAATTACTGCAGTGCCATGTCTCGCATGGATAGGTGTCCCTGCATGCACCCCCGTTAGGGAACCCCGAGGCCACATTATGTTGCATCTGCGCCAGTTCCTTTCTGACCATGCCATATTTGATGAGCGACTGCTTCTATGACTTTAGGCCTTTTTCCTTATCAACGTAATTCAACATGACCATGAGTAACCAAAATCATAAACCTAAACCAATTCAATATAAAAAGGAATGTTTAACCGATTCAATATAAAAAGGGATGTTTATAGGGAATTTTGTCCTTGTTTTGATGTGAAGAACCCGACCTCAATTTTTAATGAACCCTTTATATATGGATTTTTTCTGACAGATTGTTATCACTTTAAAAATTATTTTTAATGGATGTTCATATTTGAGTAGACGTTCCGTTTGTCTATTAAACAATATATTTATTTATTTTTGTGTACCGGCCTGAATATTCGAGAAAACTTATTAAATAAAAATAAATAAACGGAGCGTCTGGGAAAATATGCATATCCACTAAAAATAACGTTTATATTATATGATATAACGATATAAAATTTTGTACAATTTTATATATCAACATATAATATTTAGAAAAATATGACCAACTGGAAAGGTTTTTTTGTGACACGTTTCATCCGTGAAGATTTCATCAGATTGGGCTTTGATGATGTTGTCATGTCTACACATGCGCACGAAACGAGAGACTCAGGTAGTTTCAAAATATTTTGAAATAATATTTTTTCTCAATCTAGCCGAAATCATCTGTATTCTTTTTCTTTTTCTTTATCTCTCCAGCATCTTTGTTCCTGATTATCCAACAGTAGACAATATAAAATCTACCAAGTATGGTGACATATTGCAAGAGTCTGGACGCAAATTATATATATATATATATATATATATATATATATATATATATATATATATATATATATATTTAAATTGTGTGTATTTAGGCAGCATTTTTTCATTCATACGTTTCATTAAATAATATAGACAAGTGTTGTCTATTTATTTCATCAGACGTTATGAAAAAGAATTTACATAAAATAAATAGACAACACTTGTCTATATTATTTAATGAAACATGTATGAATATATATATATATATATATATATATATATATATATATATATATATATATATATATATATATATAAAAAACAGTTTATTTTCGGTCAAATTTAGACTTGTCCGGAAAACAGTTATATAAAAGAGTGCTCAATGTAAAAAGGCAAAGCCGAATGTGCAGTGGAATTGAGTATCAAAGTGACTATCAAAATAACCACTGATGCTACCATAATACATTATACTATTAACCTCTACTGCCTGAAAAAAAACTTAGTAAATATCAATATCACAGAATTAGTTGTAAAATATCCCTATCTGTGTATTTAATTTTATATGAAGAGATAATTGTTAATTTTGTAACGAGCAAGTCTTTAATTGGTGCAATGAGCGATCCTTTTCACGCTAATATAAACAATAAATCTAAATTACAATTCCCCGACACATTATTTTTCTGTCTGTCTGTCTGTCTGTCTGTCTGTCTCTCTCTCTCTCTCTCTCTGATATTCCCATTGTCATATAGCATTAAATGTGACAATGGGAATTTATCAAGTCAACAATGACGAATCAATACGAAGAAGAGCCGAAGTTCATTGCTTGTCGATCCGGGTAACTGAGCCCTTTATTTCCATGGAATGGAATCGAAACAATCTACACTAATCTATCTAGATTAAACAAAGGTTTCAGTTGGAAATTCACTGAAGGTTACTCAGGTCAACAAACATCTGAAGAAGGCCCGGAGGCACAATGGCTGAAACGTTGTGATATTAACAACAAAGATCAGGACAGCAAATAATGAAATGCACAGAAATTACAAAAGAAATGCTTAACATAAAAAGATGTGTGATTGATTTTCTTGATATTAGGTTGGTATGAGGTTCTAAAGCGTTTTAATTTAGTATAGACAGAAAATTGCTTTTTATCTTAACAATTATCAGATTTACTTGCCTCGAATGTAGAAAGTTTGGGTCTTGAAATGTTTGAGTATATTTTTCTTCTCAATTAAGTCATTTGCTAAGCCAAACTTAGTAAATCTCTTTATTCTCTCACTCTGTCTCTTGTATATATATATATATATATATATATATATATATATATGTGTGTGTGTGTGTGTGTGTGTGTGTGTATGTCACGTAGCTGATTCATGTTAACTTCCGCATCTCTACTACAGAGTCCGTCCACTCATCAGGGGATATGACTGCTTATACTTCTTGATTTTTCTTTTTTATATGCACTTATAATTAGTCCAAGTATTTTTTATTTAGTGGTTGTGCATACATTCATATACATATATAGACATACACTCATGCACATACGTACATACACATATATGTATACAAACGCGCGCACGTAAACCTATGCACACTTTTGATTATGATTTGTTATTAATATGTAAACTAGTGCTTAAATGGTAAAGTAATTTTTTTTCAATATTTTTAGAGTATTAATTATGGGTTATTGCATTTATGGAGTATTTTTCGTTGCAGTTTGAATATATGTACATAGAGTATATTATACACACATATATACACATATATATATACCTATATATACACAGACACACATATATACACACATATACAAACATATCAATATATATATAGATATAGATATATTTCATATATATACACACACACAAAAATATATGTACACATATATAGACACATATATACATATATATATACATACACACACACACACATATATATATATATATATATATATATATATATATATATATATATATATATATATACACATATAATAAATAATAATAGCTGGCCACTGGCATTCGAGGATACCCGTCTTACTAGGGCAGCTAGGCAATCCCTATTGCAGACGCTCGCTCAGGTACATTTTGTGTTTGCTCAACACCCACAGAGCCCACCTGTGGTTCATACTGCAACTATGCTGAACAGAGAAGAGTTACAGTTTATAGCGTGATCAACAATTTAAACAAAGCCAGTACGCTCAAGCTCTCGTCCACGATGACTTGTGGCTTTCTGTTAGCACAGATATCGACAGCCATTAGTAGTTCTATCTACGCAATTTCTCTCACAAGGCTAGATATATATACACACATCTATATATATATATAGATAGATAGATAGATAGATAGATAGATAGATACTTATATATGTAAAAATATATGTATACGCAAACATATATATATATATATACTCTGTACCAGAAGATAGTGTTGTGCATGAAAGTCCGAGTTCCGGTATAGGTGAGGAATAATATATATATATATATATATATATATATATATATATATATATATATATATATATATATATATATATATATATTAAGTCAGAACTAGATAAGCAATAATAATTTTTTTTAAAATAACGGATTTGACATAGTCATACAAACTAACTTAAACGAAGTAGATTTTCTTGATGTTACCTTCAACCTAAGGAAAAGTACATATAAACCATACAGAAAGCCCTATAATAAACCCCCTGTATATACACACATCTTCTAATCACCCACCATCAAACAGATACCAAAATCAATTAACCGCAGGCTTTCCGACAATTCTTCTAATGGAACCATATTCAATGAAGCTAAGAAAGCCTACGAAACAACCCTAAAAGAAAGTAGATTCCCGGCAACACTCACATACTCATCACAGAGCAAAAAAAAAGCCAGCAGGAAGAGAAATATCATATGGTACAACCCACTGTACAGCAAAAACGTAAAAACAAACGTAGGAAAAATATTCTTGAAACTCTTGCACAAACACTTCCCAGAAAGAAGCATTCTCCCCAAAATATTCAGCAAAAACACAGTAAAAATCTGCTACAGTTGCACCGAGAACATGGGAGAAATAATAAAAAAATCACAACGGCAAAACTATCAACAAACCACCCGAACAAATTAAACCCACGTGTGACTGAAAATAAAGAATGAATGTCCTTAAATGGATTACCATTTAAGGGACATTCATTCTTTATTTTTCAGTCAATAATGTATTTAATTTGTTCGGGTGGTTTGTTGATAGTTTTTAAAACTGTTCAATTATTACAAATTATTTTTTTATTACGTTGTGATTTTTTTATTACAAAACAACTTAGTATACCAAGCCACGGTAAAATCACCAAATAACGAGGAAAAAAATATACATAGGAGTAACTGAAGGACTCTGGAAACAAAGAAACTATGCACACAAAACATCTTTCACAAATTGTAAATATGCGAACAACACAATGCTTTCTAAGTATATCTGGGACACCAAACCACACCAAAAATATCATGGAAAATAAGGAAAAGAACTACTACAGTCTACTGTGACACAATTTAGCTATGGTAATTGATTTACTAATTAACCATAACAAGCAAGAAATTCTAAGAAATGAAGGAAGATATCCCGAAAGATATACTGTTCAATATTAAAAAGATTTGATTTTATTTCCCAAAAACTTACTTTTCTCAAATACCCGAGAATTGGCATAAGCAGTGGACTCAAAGAAAGGCCATATGCGAGCTTTAGACAACTGATTAATGATGTTTGTAAAAGTACTGGTTAAAGAAAAACCAAGAACAAGATATCATTCGAAATCACAAGATTTTAGAAGTCGATCAGGCGATGTGGCCATATGTTGATTATAAAAATTTTGGCATGAGAAAATATTCCGAAATATTTGCCGATACCGGGTAGAGAGAATTACTATTATTTATTTTTCTAAGATATCATTTTAAGTCCCGGCAAGGCAAGGCCACGTGTTGATTATAACAATTTTGGCATGAGAAAATATTCCGAAATATTTGCTGATACGGGGTGGAGAGAATTGCCATTAATTACCATTATTTATTTTTCTCAAAGAAGCGAAGAGGACAAAATGGCGGGCTTTGACAAATGATTGATGATGTTGTAAAAGTACTAGTCGAGGAAAACACAGAATAACCAAGCGTCGTGGATATGGTTTTAAGTGGCCATGTGTTGATTATAGAAAATATCTCGAAATAATTGCCAAATTTTAAAAATAAAGGGATTTATTTTTCTTTTCCGAGAAGCCAAGTGTTCCCGTAGACCTTGATAACTGATTGATGTTGTTTGTAAAAGCACGGGTTAAGAAGACGCAAACTGGCCAGGAGCGCCGAAGATATCAGAGATTTTAAGTAAAAGAGCCATGTTTTGGCCGGTGAGAACGAGAATTTTGTAAATAAAAATTCTAGTTTATAATTTTAATGAGGCCAGCTTAGCCACACCCGCACGGCTGGGATGTCATTGGTCGAGTGGTAGCAATGGTGATAGGCGGAGGTAATTTGGTGGGAAAGACGGGGAAATTATTAACGCCTATTGAAAGGAATTGTTATGAGTTGCCAATATGAGGAGGAAGGAGTCTGGGAGGATAGCTATACTGCAACCTCTCTTCCCTACCAAAGGGATCCCCACAAAAATGGAAAGTAATTAATTTTCCCAAAATGGGAAGTAATCAATTTTCCTAGCCATACAACAAAGAGGTCCCTTGTCAGAAATCGGGATTTACCGAAAACCCCAGGCTGCGTCTAGCCGCGCCCTGGTTTTTTGGTCGGTGTCTATGTAAGCGAGCGCCCTCGGGCAGTTCGCTAGTAGTAGTTGTTGAGAAGTTTCAGTCCAGCAGTTCGAGTAGCAGGAAAAGAGCGTTGCCTTGCAGAAGCTGACCGAGAGATTCCACGACCTCCTACCAATAGCAAGTTATACTGACGAACTTAAAAGCCAGCACTTAAAAACTAAACCAGTTGACTTAGAAGACCAGAACTTGCCTAAGAAATATAAAAGAGTCACTCTCCGAAGAAACGGGTTGGGAAAAAACACACTCCTGTATATAACAGACGGATAAAAGTAGATTTGTTTCTTTCAACATACTTGAACCTCTTGGGTTTTATTTGCTTCTTTTCTTTACGCTTGTGCGATATCACCTCCAGTTTAGACTCATCTTACACTACGTCCCGATGCATGATTGATCTCGTCTACCTAAGATCAAAATCACTAGGTGGGTAGTTTAAACTTGAGATCGAAGTAGTTGCTTCGGTAACCAGACATAGGAAGTGAGCTGGGAACGACGGAGCTGGTGTCGAACCGGTTGCATCTGGTGTGAAGCCGTTTGAAATCGACCGACCATCCCACTTAGTACCCTGATCAAAGGATCCCTCCGGCGGCGACGACCACCGACCGACCGACCGGGACACAGGTTGGTGGCAACGACTAAGAGTCCACCGCAAAGCGCTATTTCTACTACGTTACTTAAAAATTGAAAACTGAAACAAATAAATAAAAATAAATAAAAATAATAAAAACAAGTAAAATAAATAAATCCAAGCAAACAATGAACAAATTAACAAACCACACCCGCCATAACAACCGCTGAAATAAATAAAAATAAATAAGAACTAGGAAAAATAGTCAATTCAAATAAATAAATAAAGTAAATAATAAACAATTTAACAAACCACTCCCGTCAAAATAACTGATACGTTAATACGTTTACGAGTTTTATTTCTACTAAATCGATTATTGCGACTGCGTTACTGGATAGCTAGACAACTGCAGCGGGCTGCCAAATTGATTTTGAGCAAGCAATGTTTAGGGCACATTTTCTAGCCCCTTTCCCGGATTAGGGAAAGCAATGCTATGTCTAAATAGACCTGCTTTATCACTATCGGAGGGCATAAACAGCACAATTGCTCAGGGTTTTGTGCAAGAACGGCCATCACCCGATGGTCGCCACTGTGGGAGTGCCAGCAAGAAACTTCCAGTACTATGCTGTACCTGTCCCCGTCGCCTTGACTCTCCCAGCAGTGGATTTGTTGCTCAGGTGCAATAACAAAGAAGGAACACAGAACTGAACTGCAGACTATCCACACAGAAGATTTGTTTAGGGTAGTGAAGGCTTGTGTAGAACCAGCCACACTTATTGGAAATGCTGATAACAAATATTTGCCACGAACACAATGAAGAATCGCCATCAGGTTTTATTATCACGGAGTTATATCTCGCCTGTACTACAAGTGCAAAGAAGAATGCAGCTCCTTTCGATGGTAATTTCACGTGATTTAGCCCGCCTCCTGAAGCGGTTTACAGGGTTTGGCTCGTGAGGATTTAGGGGATTGCCGGTCCATATTAATAATAAGTGAAGCAACAAAGGTACTACTTCTACCCACTGCCACCTACACGCATAGAACATGCATTGGATGTCGAAGTAAACAGATTGTCACTATTGTGCAATATATTACTATAATGTATAAATTATTATAAAACATAAGAGAAAATTTTATGATTATTATTGTTATAATTATTATTATTATTGTTGTTGTTGTTGATGTACATCTATATCTATGTATATATACACATATATATACACACATATATGCATATATACACATATATGTACATATACATATACACATATATATGCATATATATACACATATATATACACAGAACATATATGCATATACACAGACACACATATATATACACACATATATGCATATATATACACACAATTATTTATACACACACACACACATAGATATGCATATATATAATAAATAATAGGTTACCCGTCTGTTCAGCTGTACAATCCTATTGCAGACGCTCGCTCAGGCACATTGTGTTTGCTCAAAACACAGTTGCCCACATGTGATTTATACTGCAACTATGCTGAGCAGACCTTAGTTACAGTTTCTGGGAGAAAACGTGTTATCTAGCGTGATCGACAATTTGAACAAGGCCAGCTCGCTCAAGCCCTCGGCCACGATGACTTGTGTCTTTGTGCTAGCACAACTATCGACGGCCCTCAAGAGTTCCGTCTACCCAATTTCACTCACAAGGCTTGGGTGAACCCCGTAGTATGGTTTTCAGGCACTTTTGCAAAGGTGCTGCATGCTGGGATCGACCGCGATCCATTCCCATAACATCAGCATACACACACACGCACACACACACACACACACACACACACACACATATATATATATATATATTGAATTTACGGTATTAACGCATGTTGTCAAATGAGATCGAAAGTAGTTGGGAAAATAAAAGTTATTTGAAAGAAAATTTTGGAATTTTTTCTTAATCAGTATTCTGCAATCTCCAAGAAATTCTGCGAATTGAAAGGTTTAAAACTAAAATA